GGGGTTACATGCTGTATGATTGTATCTCTATGACATTTTCCACAAGGGAGCATAGTGATGGAACACAGAACAAGGCTTGCCATTGGTTAACAGGCATGGAGAGAATGAAGGAGCTTTAGAGGGCACTCTTCTGTCTCTGGGTCATGATGATGGTTACATGAATTTATACACATGCAAAAATTTATAGAACTGTGCCCAAAAGAAAATGTTGTTTACCGTATGTTCATTTTAAGAGTAATAATCTTAAAGATATGCATCATCAGTGTTACTTTCTCATAGACAAATGAAATTCAGGTGAAATTCCTTTGCCTCTGACCCCCACATTCTCCCCCATGCTCCACATCGTGGGTCTGGTTAGTGCCCAATTCAGGGAGCAGAGTCCCTAGCCATGTAAGGCACAGTACTGTGGCTGACCAGCCTCACCTCTCCTTCCTGTCTCTGCTCACTTCCCCCTGAGCTGGGGTCCCTTTCCCCCTTTCCTCGGTTTCTTAACCATTTCCCTCCCCCAGACTGTCCATCAGCACCCTGTCCTGGATTCATCCAAAAGCCAAGACCAGATTGCCTGTACTGGCATTTGAGACTATGGTTGACCTCACTCTTCTTGTCCTCTCTCTCACTTTACTTTCTCACATGTCCCCAACTGTCCTGTTAAACCTGGCCAGTCAGCTCTTCCTGTGCTGTCTTCCCACCGCCTGCCTGCCCACCCCTCAAGGCCACCTTGCATGCAGCCCCCTCCCTGAGGGCTCCCCTCACCACCTCACATGGCTGATCTCCTTCCTTTGTGAACTCCCTTGGCAATTTGTCTAAACTTGTCATCTAGCCCTTATCATGTTGTACCTGATGTGTGAAATCCATCTCTTCCTCTAGACTCTAAGCTTCTTTTGGTTGGCTGTTTTTAGTTGTTTTTCTGCAGCATTCTTCCCTGAACACAAATACCATTATCCTATTAGCATGAAATGCCATTTTTCTGCAGAATGTGTTTTGTTTCTGTGCTATAACCTCAAGAAGCCAGAATTCATCACTCTTAGTCCTGTGCTTCCAGAGCACTGGTACAAAGCTCCATAACACATACCTTCACGGTGGTTCTGGAGGGAGTTGTGGAAGGGAACAGGAGAGTGCAGCGCTTCACGGCATGGGCATCCAAGCCAGCCTGCTCCACCACTGCCTACTCATGTGACTTCAGTGAGTCACACAACCACTCAGTGCCTCAGCTGCTTCATCTGTGAAATGGGGATAATAGTATCTATCTTAAAGGGTCATCATGAGGATTAATATACGTGAAGCACTTAAAATAGTGCCTGTTACATAGTAAGTACCCAGCAAAGGTTATCTGTGTAACCAATATCCCTTGAGGGACACTAGGAAATATAACTTGGGGGCTTTTTGAGCCCTTCATTCAAACCAAAGGGTCAGGTTTGTATCAATGTATATTTAACACACACACACACACACACACACACACACACACACACCCCTTCCCTTCCAGCCTTTCTCTCTCCCCCTCTCTCTGTCTCTCTTTCTCTCCCTCTCCCTCTTCTCTCTCTTAAATCCAATATGAAGAGAAACACCCCAACTGAAAAATGGCTAGAATATTTGAACAGACATTTTACAAAAGAAAATATATGAAACAACAGTAAGCATGTGAAAGGGTGTCCAACATCATTAGTCATCAGAAAAATGCAACCTAAAACCACAATGGGGAAACATTACAATGCCTAAAGGAAGAAGAGACAGACAATACCACATGTTGACAGGCATGTGAAGCATAAATTGCTGGTGGAAATGCAGGCACAGTACAGCCACTTGGCATAACAATATGGCAGTATCTTATAACCGTGAACCGGTAAACATATATATAATTACAATAGGAATTAGCAATTTCACACCTATGTATTTACCCAAGAGAAATGTGTGCCTATGTCTACACAAAGACATGGATGTGACTGCTCACAGCAGCATTCTTCTCAATACCCCCGAACTGGAAACAACCCAATGGAATACTAGTCAGCCATCAAAAGGAATGAAATATTAATGTATGCAACAACATGGATGGATCTCAAAAACTTAATGCTCCATGTACGTTAGAGACTATATGCTGTCTGATTCTATTTGTATGAAATTCTAAACATGGCAAAACTAAACTGACAACAGCAGTGGCTTCCTGTGGCTGTCATCAAGGAGGACATCAGCAAGTTGGAGGAGAATACCTTTCAGGATGAGGGAACCATTCTGTCTCTGGGTTTAGGTGGTGGTTACACAATTACCAAACTTCATCAAACCAGACACTTAAAATGGGTGAATTTTGTTGAATGTAAATAATGATGTAAAAAAGAAAAAACAAACCCAGAGGCTGATTAAGTGTCTTTCAGCTGGTTGCTCCAGTGCCTTATGTGTGGTGTCTCGGGGCCTGCCAAGCTGACTTCCTTATTGGAAATAAGGTCATTCAAGGCTCATTTTCTTTCTCTTGCCTCAGAGCTGCAGATCCAGCTGACATTGACCGATTTCCAGTGGGCACCATAGTGTGTCCCAGGCGGAGGCTGACGGAAACAAGCTTGTGTTTCTGTCACTAATGATATAAGCCTTCATCGTATTCTCTGCCAGGCCATGTTGGTTGTCATTACACCCATTGAAGAAGAGAACAGAGTAATAATGAGCTGGGTGTTATCGGCTCACAAATAATTTATAATGGGCAAACTAGGACAGGAACAGAGCTTTTTTTGGCTAAGGAGGCTGCATGTCACTCTTAAAATCTAGGCCAAAAAATTATTTATAATGCATAGACAGTCACTCAGAAAGTTGAAAGGTTCCTTTCTTCTCTCCCATGTGTTTGAACATTAGGCTTTTTACCCTAGACTAGCAAAAGGCACCTTAGGGTCTTCCTTGGACACCTGCATTCAGTCTGCAACTCTGAGAACACATGTGAGGGCAGTTACTTGGTTAGGAATGAGGCCTTTGTAGAAACCCCTATCCAAGGATAGGAATGAAGGAAAAGTCAGGAAAAGGAAGAGATCCTTACATATGGGTAGTGACCACACACTTGAGAAGTGAGCTTTAAAGAATTGCCTCGGGTGTTATCAGAAAGGAGCCCAAACCAAGATATTATCAGCAAAGGATGGTTTGTAAACAGGTGTGTTGAAATAAAGGCAGGTCATGTGTCCTCAGGCAGAGGCAAGCAGAGTGGTTATGGCCATCGTGGCATCTAAGAAAAGGATATTTTCATCCTGTCCCTGTGTTTACAAGGGCTGTTTGGGAAGGCAGAATCATTATTGACATTGATACCTGTAGATGTGGATACCTACCCCAAGGGAGGCCAGTTCCCCTGATGGGAACTTGCTGAATTGTCACAAGCTACCAGCACCCAGTCCTAACTTCATGCTGGCCAACAGCCTCCTGATAAGTGATCAGCCGTCCTGGGCACCTTGATGCCAGACCCCAGGGTATGTAGAGCAAGTAGACCATGTTTAACGGGCCCTGCCACTGTGGCTCCCGCTCTCTCAGGGAGCCGACTTTGTGGAACAAGCCCACCCTGGGTGAGTTGAAGAAGGTTGGTCAGCTCTCCCAGCTCTGGCTCACCTTTGACTAAGGTGACTGTTGATGAGGAGCTAGTCCCGTGGGGCTGAGATCCAGCCCCTGGGTCTGTGGCATGTCATTAAAGATCAAGTCTTCTAGAGCAGTGCTGCTTCCCAGACCTCCTCAGGGTAAGGGCAGGCTTCCTGTGGCACGTGCTCCTTGTTTAGCCATCTAGGAGAGTGGCCCCTAGAGCCATGTTTTCCTCTTCCAGTTCCTGAGATTCCCAGGCCTCCTCAGAGGTCCCCTCCTCTCAAGCCGAAGGACTCTACTTTGTTCTCTGTATAGATTGTGCAGTGTAGCATGTCATTTTTTAAATATACTTTATTGTTTTTGGAGTAGTTGTTCACAGAAAGAGTGGAGAAAAATAGAGCAGAAGATACAGAGGTTTCCCATATATCCCCCGTCCCTACATATGGGCAGCCTCCCTGTAATCAGCATCCCCCACCAGAGTGCTACATTTGTTCCAATGGATGAACCTTACGTCGACACATCATTATCACCCAGAGTCCACAGATTACATTAGCGCTCTTGGTGTTGTACGTTCTGTGGGTTTGGACAAATGTATAATGATGAGGATCCACCATTATAATATCATACAGAGTAGTTTTGCTGCCCTAAGGTCCTCTGTGCTCCACCTATTCATCCATCCCCACCTCAACCCCTGGCAGCCACTGATCTTTTTACTGTCTCCATAGTTTTGCCTTTTCCAGAATGTCATATAGTTGGAATCATACAGTATGTAGCCTTTTCAGATTGGCTTCTTCCACTTAGTGATATTCATTTAAGGCTCCTCTATGTCATCTTTAAAAGGGTTCATCTGCTCTTAGCAGCTTGACAGCCATATGCGTTCTCTGTCACACGTTGGCCCTGGGTCGAGCATGGCTTGCAGACGGTTATGCTTCGTCTCCCCAACAGGATGACGAGTTCTGGGGCAGAGGCCAGGACATATGCCCTGTGTGGCACTGGCTCCCTGCCAGACACTCAGGGAATTTGGTTTGCCCTTGGAACTCAGTGCCAAGGGCTGGGTGCTCTGGGTTGGAGGGGCTATACTTAAAGCCTAAGGAAGGGCTATCAGAGCAAAACCCTCTGGGGCTGCAGCCATGTACACAGCATGTCATTTGCTCTCTGAAGGTTAAAGCTCCATGAAGTCAGAGTGAGCAGCATCTGGCAACAGAGCTAATCTGTGTAAGATTTCGCATCTGAGTCAGAACTTACTTATTAACACTGTCTGTCTTTGTGGCCAAGAGTCTAGCAAAACATTTTTCTGTCCCCATTAGTCAACGCCAAAATGTGGCAAATGTTACTTTCCCTGAAAGGGTTCTGATCAGATGATCACAACAGAACACACTCTGATAGAAAATACTTCTATTTCATAATAAAGCCTTTATGATGTGGAATGTTCTAGTAACCTGTGTGTTCTGTGCTTACAGAGCTTCTCGAAACAAGTCTGAGAAGAAGCGTCGGGACCAGTTCAATGTTCTCATCAAAGAGCTTAGCTCCATGCTCCCTGGCAACACGCGGAAAATGGACAAAACCACCGTGCTGGAAAAGGTCATTGGATTTTTACAGAAACACAATGGTAAAGGTTACGCCTCTCTCCATTTTTATCCCATTCCTGTCCTTTCATTTGACGATGACTTCATCAAGCTGGTCTTCTGCTTGGTTCCGGCAAAGCCCGATCTCATCAGTCACAGGCTTCCTCTTGCAAAGGCACTCCACCTTCTTTAATATCCCACCTCCAGCAGGTTTGGGAGAGGACACTTACCTCCCAAATTGCTTTACTAGCCAGAGGAGAGAACCCAGAGTCGCCTCACAGGTAGCACCCAGCCCAAGTGGAGTGGTGTTAACAGTGGAATGTCTTGATTTAAAAATGGCTGCAGCAAGCATTTTTCATTCAGCCCTGAAGAGATGCAATGCCCAAGAATTCATTTTCCACTGGACGGGAATGTACTGGTTTCTCCAACCACCTCTGCCATGGCCCTGAACTCTTTGGCCTTCTGAGCTACACCATGAAAAAAATAGTAATTTACTTACAGTCAAATACTTTTTTTAAAAAATATAATTCATGTGCCATAAAAGTCACCATTTTAAAGTTTATAATTCAGTGGCATTAGTCTATTCAAAGGGCTGTGCAACCATTAACACTAATTTTGTCATCCCATAAAGCAGCCACTCCCCATCTCCCCTCCCTCCAAGTCCTGACAACCACTAACCTACTTTGTCTCTATATATTCTAGGTATTTCGTACAGATGGAATCCTCCAATATGTGGTCTTTTGTTTCTGGCTTCTTTGACTTAGCATCCATAGTTTAGCAAGTGTCAGTAATTTCACTCCACTTTATGGCCAAACAATACCAATTGTATGGATATACCACATTTTGCTTATCCATTTATCAGTTGAGGGTTTTGTGTTGTTTCCACTCTTTGGCTGTTATGAACAATGCTGCTATCTGTGGACCTTCGTGTACAAATTTTTGTGTGGATATATGTTTTCAGTTGTCTTGGATATATATCCAGAATTAGAATTGTTGGGTCCAGTGGTAACTCAGGGAACTGCCAAACTGTTTTCTGCAACAATTTCATACTCTCAGCAGCAGTGTGTGAGGGTGTCAGTTTCTCCACATCCTCACCAACACGATATTGTCTGGTTGTGGGTGTGGGTGTGGGTGTGGTGTGGTGTGTTTATTATAGCCTTCCTAGTGAGTATGAAGCAATATCTCATTATGGTTTTGGTTCGCATTTCCCTAAAGATTAATGATGTTCAGCTTTTCATGAACTTATTGGCCATTTATAGATCCTTCTTTAGAGAAATGTCTATTCAAATCCTTTGTTGATTACTTATCTTTTTTTTAATGTTTTATTATTTATTTTTGAGAGAGAGGGGCAGAGCATGAGCAGGGGAGGGGCAGAGAAAGAGGGAGACACAGAATCTGAAGCAGCTCCAGGCTCTGAGCTGTCAGCACAGAGCCCAACGTGGGGCTCGAACTCATGAACTGTGAGATCATGACCTGAGCCAAAGTCAGACACTTAACCAACTGAGCCACCCAGGCGCCCCTACTTACCTTTTGTAATTGGAGTATTTATCTTTTCTTGTTGGGTTGTAAGAGTTCTTCATATATTTTGGATACTAGACCCTCATCAGATGTATATAATTTGCAAACATTTTTCCCATTCCATGGGTTGCCTTTCACTTTCTTACAGATGTCCTTTTACAAAAGTTTCTAAGTTTGAAGTCTAGTTATCTTTTTGTTGTTGTTGGTTTTGTGTGCCTTAGGTATCCTAAGAAATCATTGTCTAAGGATATGAACATTTACACCACCAATGTTTTCTCCTAAGAGTTTATAGTTTTAAACCATAGATAAAGCCTCAAGTATACAAGCTACAGGGTGAGCATTTAAGTATTTGATTCATTTTGAGTTATTTTTTGTATATGGAATAAGATAGGGTGTTGAAATTCATCCTTTTGCATGTAGATATCCAGTTATCCCAGCGTTCCTTTCTTTTTTAAAAAAAATTTTAACACTTACAGAAAATATACAAATCATAACTGTACAATTGAATTACTTATCACACTGCTTATTAGTGAACACAACTAGGAACCCAGGTCAGTAAATACAAGCTTCCCCAAAAGATGGCCCTTCCTTCCTATCTACCTCTGCTTTCCCCAGAGGTAATCTCTGTTCTGACTTCTAATACTAGAGATTGGCTGTTGGGACCTTATTCAGATGGAATCATACATTATGAACATGATGTTTATGAGGTTAATCTGTGTTCTTCCAGTGTTCTGACTGGTTCGTTTTCATTGGTATATACTATTCTATTATATGAAGTTACCACTTGAATCTGTCCTTGACCTTATGTCTTTCTCAAATAACCTTCTCTCCCTTTTACCTTTTTCCTTTAAACCATTTTACCTCTTAGCACTGACCACCCTGCCCTGCTGCTCACCTATGGATGGTACCAAAAAATTGGAGGAGTTAAGAGGGTTCAGTAGATATTAACAAGCAAAAAGAGCAGAATTCTTTTTTTCCTTAACCATGACACCAAAAATAATAAAGTCAGAAATGTCAGGTTATTGAGGAGATAATTACAGTTCTTCTGTGCTTACAGTGATGCTTCTCTTTCACTGAACATTTTCCTAGACAAGATGATTTCATGGAAGAGGGCACAGCTAGGACATTAGAAAGTTTCATTATACTTGCTGTTCTTTTATTATTTCTTTAATAATTGTATATACCTATTAAAAATATGACAGTAATGATACATCCTCCTTCTTTTTTTTTCCAAAGCTGCCCAGGGGAGTGTAAAGAGTATGTTAATTGCTTTTGCTACAAGTCAGGGAAGAACAATCAAGCAGGATTGGAATAAAGTGTTGCAGCAGTATTCGATTGCCCCAATAATTTAATCAGAATGGTTATGTTTCCTAAATAATGATTTAGCTAAGTGAAATAGCAGGTTGGTTTGATTACTGAGATATTTTGCGCAAATTACTCAAACTAGGTCAGTGCCACTGAGAAGCAGGACAGCTGTTAAATAGGACAGCTGGGATCAAGTTCATCAGTGTGACATTTATGCTGGGCTCTGTCTGCTGCAGAATTACAGAATTGTCAAGTTGGGATCTGGAAAAGATCAGTCAACAGAAATGCAGCCTCCTAACACCAGGAGCACCCATATCCATCTCACTTTTTTTATAAGACTAAAGACTGGTTTGTACAGCCCCCTTAAATGCAACCAGGATCACCTTGGGATCTTACTTATCCTTTGTGATACTATATTCCAAAAAAACCCCAAAAAATCCATAGTAGATTTTATGGAGGAATTCAGTGGTTGGACCAAAATTTGGATTAAATCAAAAACAAAAACAAACAATAACTTCACTTATAATCCAAATGGACATGAACTCCGCAGGCATCTGCAATAGGGTAGAGAATAACATGGTCAGCCTTTACTCAGTCCTCACCATGAGCCAGGCAGGCATTGTTGTAAGGATTCTTGTATAGTTATACAAATGAGCTTCATAGCAGCTCCCCTAAGTTAGTATCATTTCACAAATGAGACAGCTGAGGCACAGAGACGTTAGGTCAGTCACCTGAGTCAGCCAGCCATGATAATGGGGAATCTATATGAGGCAGTCTGCCTCCAGAGCCCAAGTTTTTAATACTATACCATACTGTTTTTCAACAAGGCATAGTTCATGGGGCTCTTGCAGATATTTGTATCATAGTTGTGCTATAGCTGTCCATTAGCACAGCCATTTAGACTACTGGTTCTCAACCTTGGCTGCCCATTAGAATCTCCTGAGGAGCTTTTAAAATACATGTAACCAGGTCTCACCTCAGAGACCAATACATCAGAACATCTAGGGTGGAACCCCAGTGGTGAGCTGGAGCTGGCTCATCCTGGCTTGCAAAAGATGATTATTAAATTTTCAGGAGTTTTACAAACTAGTTGACAGCTTAGAATCAGCCACCATGGGAGTATTTACACCACAGATATGGCAGAGGGCTTTTTTTTTTAATTTGTAGGGATGGAGAGCCTTTTACTAGCACACTACTGGGTAAGGCACAAGCATGTGTATATTTAAAGCTCCTCAGGTGATTCCAGTGTGCAGCCAGAGTTAAGAACCGTGGATTTAGACATGCTTTCTGCTTCCATGATAAAGCAACACCACATGATAAGTAAGAAAAGATGATTAGGTCCAGGTAGTCGTTATAATTACTTATAATGACTCTTTCCTCAATAATCTTTCAAGCATCCCCATTTTCTCAGCTTGGGAGATAAATCTTGATCCATATGTATTCTCTTTGAAGTAATCCAGATCAAACTGAGAACCTGACCATGTTTCTTTGTAGATAAATTTTGTATCATCAGTATCAATTTTAAGAGATAAGTCCCTAAATTATGTAAATAGCAGTGTATCGCACGGCCTTATCCATGCCCATCTAAATGTTGCTTCTACAGGGCCAGACTGACCTGCATGCTTTCCTTTTCTTGTGTGAATCTCAAGCTGATTTAATGGGATTTTCTTCCAACATCAAATCCTGTTCCTCATTCATGTCCCTTCAATTTGTCTGCCTTAGTGGAGAAGGAATGAGGTTGTGTGAAGAAGCTGCAGAAAAAAGAGAAACATCTTTGTTGGACAGGGTAATGTTAACCCAGCTTAGTAGAGAGTTTTTACCCCATTTCCAAGACTTTGCTTTGACTACATATATCTCAAAGACATACTTCTCCTATTTCATGAATAACAGGAACAATTAGAAGGCGAGCACTCTAGGGCACAACTACAACTTATACTATAGTAGAATTTTGGGGTTTAAATATTCATTGCAATGTTTTCCTGAAAACAAAATGCTCCCAGGTGGTTTTGTTTCCCTTGCTATTTAGAAATTACTTTGACCACACCTCTTTGCTAACCCTGCCTGTCACCTATAGCTTCTAATATTGGAACCTCAAATGCCAATGGAGACATGATTATAACACTGAACTTTATTTCCCAGTTTAACATTTTTCTATTTGCCTTGAGACATTTTATCTAACATAGACACCCCCCCCACACACACACACGCATTTTTAATATGCTGTGAATTGATGGGGCACCTGAATGGCTCAGTTGGTTAAGCATCCGACTTCGGCTCAGAGCATGATCTCATGGTTCGTGGGTTCGAGCCCTGCGTTAGGCTCTGTGCTGACAGCTCAGAGCCTGGATCAGATTCTGTGTCTCCCTCTCTCTCTGCCCTTCCCCCACTCATTCTCTCTCTGTCTCAGTCTCTGTCTCTCTCTCAAAAGAAAACATTTTAAAAAGTTAATATGCTGTGAATTGAGCCTTAACTTCTAAGGATTACAATCAAATTGTTGAAATACAAAGTGAATAAAATGGCTGCTCTCAGTATTCTTATGCTGGTGTTTGGAAAGTATCTAAGCTATACTGAATGATCTAAAAGTTACTTACAGAAAAGAAATGGGTCTTTCATTTTCCTTTATTGCTAAGTTGAATGAACCATTGTCTAAATCAACTTTGGACTCCTGGAAAGACTCTTCTCCTGGACAGTTAATCTACAACTTGATCCTAATGGTCAAAAGAACTTTACAGATGAGTTTATGTGTTAGGGAAAGGGGGAGACCTTTATGGCATTTATTTATTAACATGGCTTTGGTAGATTTCTTTCCTAAGTGGTCAAACTGTGGCAACCATTTGAGGAAATGAGAGTTTCACCCTCTCTTCCTTGCCTCGGCTGGCACCCCGGAATGAACACTGGCCCAGAATTGCATGTAGCACACTGCCTCTGCTTCCCAGGATGCATTTCACCTTGTGCAGCCTCTGGCCACGGTGGCAGAAATAGCTTGTTCATTTAGAATCTTGAAAGAAGAAACCATCTTGGGAGCAGCAAGAAAATAATCCCTAAAGAAACCTCGTACTACATAAAGTGGAGCAAAATGCTGGTTAAGATGGAGGATAAACTGCAGGAAAAACAAATATATCTGATATGGCATTTGATCTCTCTGTAATAATATTATTAGGAACATTTTAGTAATAAAAAATACACTTTCAAAAATGCAAGAGAACTAGGGTACATAAGGAGTTTTGTGTATTCCAATGACTACTAAATTTACAAATGTGAGTAACATCTTCAGTACAAGGTAGTCACCATAACAAGAAAATTATAGATAAATCTAGAAAAAGTTTGACAAGAATAAATTCTGGCTGTAAAAGCCACTAAGTAACATATATTTGTCTAACATTTTGAACTTCAGTACCTGGAAATGCTGAAAACTACACTACATCCTGCATAGACACAGTAGGTCATTTACTACAAGTCTAAGATGTTTCTGGAATTTTGAAAACCCCAGATCTCTAAAGTGTTTTGCTTTGCCTTGGCCATAAAGAGGCAGCTGAGGAACTCGTCCTACCATCCCAGTCGATGTTTCCATTACCTTCATAGGTGACAACTACCTAACCCCCAACTGCTGATGGTGGGCTTTGTCCTGTAGAAATTCAAGGGCTTTGTGCTGCTTGCTACTGGCAGGCACTCCAGCCATGCAGAGAGTAGAGCGCTCTTCTCCTGAACCTCATTAAAAGGGTGTGAAAACATCCAGAGACCTTTTTAAGTCTATTACATCCAAAGTCCCTAGTCCTTAGAAATCAGGGTAACATATTTCTTTATACTGGCTTCTTTACATGACACAGAAGTTTACACAAAAATTACACAGAAATAAGCATGCTTTGTTTGTTAATTCTAATTCCAAGGTGACTTTTAACATAAAAGTTTATGTTTTTTTTTAGAAGTCTCAGCGCAAACGGAAATCTGTGATATTCAGCAAGACTGGAAGCCTTCATTCCTCAGTAATGAAGAATTCACCCAGCTGATGTTGGAGGTGAAATGCACTTTCAAATTAGCTTCATTGGTTGCAAATCAAAATGTAGCTGCTTGTTCCAGATAAGACCCTGTGCCCAAAGTGAACAACCATTCTTGACTCTGGAAAGAGGTCTTGAAACAGATACCCCTTGGAGCTCTGCATGCTATTGCTTATATTTTGGCTACTGAGTTTGGCAGTAGAAGCAAGAATTCCCAAACTGAATGTGAGTGTGTGCTGGGGCATCCGTGACTGCAAGGAGAACCCCACTCTTGGGCTCCCAGTCAGAGGGACACCCAATCTTGGAGCTGGGAAGGGCAAGGGTGCAGGTAGGTAGACAGAGGGGAAGGGGGAGGAAGAATTACGTCTCTGCACTGACTTTTGGCTCAGAGAGCCTCCTCCTTAGAATGCAGCGATTAGGTTTCCCTTAGTAGAACACGTTTTGAAAACAAAATTCTTTTCAAGTTAGACTTTGAACTTGAGTTCTGTTACATCAACATGGCATGTGGGTGTCAACTGTAAGTGACCCTGTGCCTCCCTGCCCTTTCTGGGCTGAGAAAGATGCTCATGTGTCTTCCTCCAGAAAGTTAGGTGCCCACGCCCATCTCCAGGGTTGTATTTGTGGAAATCTGGCTGATCCGGGCCAGTGGGCTTCTTCAATGTCCTGTGTCTACATTTGGGTGAAACTGCACAGATGAGGATGAGTCGCTACGGAAACGTGTGGCTGGGTGTTCTGACTTCCAAACTGGGCATTAGTCTGGGAGCACATGGACGTGATAGTGGAGGGAGAGAAGGCTCCAGACCTGGCACGTCTGGGCCCTTGACTTAGAAGAGGCAACAGGACAAATGAGTTCAGCGAAAGGAAGTTAGGCACTGGCTGCATGTCCGTGGTTCCTGGCAGGGTTTTTGGAGAGTGGCTTCTTTCTGTATCTCCTCTTAGGTGCCTGTACAAGACTGATGTAAACTTTAATTTACATAGATTAACTATGCAGAAAACAGAAAGTACTGGAGTAAGAAAGTGCCAGAACGAAGATGTCCAAATATTATGAAATATAAGCGCATTAATGAACATTTGCATAAAATGAAAGATACTTAAATCTGCATGTGAACTATATTTAAAGAAAATACAGAACTTTCTCCAGAAGCAATGCATTTTAAGTATGTTAAATTTAGACCAGCTTGCGAAATATAATGTTGAATTAATGTATCATTATGCTACTTTACATAAACCATTTTATCTTTTAATTCTTAGGGAACAGTAGTTAAAACGCATAACCCTATAGTACCCAGCCTCTTTTTCAGAATGTGTAGCATAGCCTTCTTTCTTTCCCACTGAGTTTCAAGAAATCAAAAGTGTTTGAGGAAACAAGACTTTTATAAAGTTAAAAATGGATACATATTTGGGCTGAAAGGCAGGGCTGAGATTCAGTAGACTGGAATTTCTAGAAAAAGATTTTTAGATTTGTATGTATATTCTTTAAAGATTTTTAAAAATTTTGTTTTGAGAGAGAAAGAGAGAGAGAGCACACGAGCAGGGGAGGGGCAAAGAGAGAAGAGAGGGGCAGAGGATCCTAAGCAGACTCTGTGCTGACAGCAGAGAGCTCGATGTGGGGCTCAAACCCACCAACTGTGAGATCATGACCTGCACTGAAGTCAGATGCTTAAACGACTGAGCCACCCAGGTGCCCCTGTATGTATATTCTTTATGCACTTTCCCCTGCTCCCAGTATAGACTTCTTGAAGTGGATCTAAAGGAATCATGCTAGGTGAGTGAATTAAGCCTGAAATTAAGACTGTACAACAAGCAGGTCTTCTGGACACATTGCAGCTTTGAGGAGTCTGGGAAACCCACCAGCTAGTACTTCTGATTGATCTTTGTTTTAGACTTTTATTCCAACCTGTTGCTCCTCAGTAGACACAGACCTGGTGATGAGTAACTGTACCTCCAGTATATTCTCCCAGATGGCCTGGGCCCTGGAGTGGCCCCCACAGGATGATGTTGTCACCATTTGCCACTAGGCAATTTCTAACTAGTTTGTGTCTCTTTCTAGCTGCACAGCCCTCTCCTTTTCCAGAGCCGTTTCAGGGAATGTGACGGATTCAGATGCCATGTCTTGATGACCATGAGGTTCCTCTCTGTTTCTGCCCCTCCCCCACTTGCACTCTGAATGAAAGAAAGAAAGAAAGAAAGAAAGAAAGAAAGAAAGAAAGAAAGAA